GATCTTACCATCAACCCGCGCCTTGGCGACTGTGGTGAAGATGATGTCCTAGACCGTAGCGACGTTGTCGGAGCTGCTCGATGTTGGAGGTCTTCCAGATCGAGAGTACTGGTCTCCAGCTGTCCATGGGTGATCTCATAGAAGTTTCGCAGCTGTTTGGAGGTGACGTGAATTGAATCTTCTCCAGTCCGGTTGCGATTGGAGATGACTTCATATTTTGGATGTACATGAAGGTGATGGGCGAGGCCTGCTTCTGCTTATCGAGGAACACTCTGGGTATCTCACGCCCTGGTACACGTATTTACGTCTTCTGTCTGGCTGCGTAAACTTTACTGATATGACTTTGCCGGTGTCTTTTTTTCACCTCCCCCTTGTACATGCATCGAAAACGTTTAGAGGGCATGAATGAAAGTTTTCATTAATACCCTGCGATCTTTTCGCATTTCGGCAGATGCATCAGTGTTCCAGTAGGATTGTGCTCGACATTTTTTTCGATTTGTTTAAGGTAAACAGGTAAAGAACAGCTGGAATACAGTAGCAGGGGTTACTGTTGTAGCGCGTCGACGCGCGTCACCGCGAAGCCTCAACGTTGCCTAAGAAAAAAAATTACCACCTCTAAGCACTAGTGTCGCAACTGCAACGACCAACATATAACAATTTATCAACAAAACAACTGTGACACATTTACGCACGAATACCAAGATCCTTGGCACGAGCTTTTTCGATCCTGAGTTTCTTGGCCTCGGATCTCGCCGACATGATTCCTCCACCCCAGTGCTTTCGGATCTCTTCACCTCTCTCGTTGAAGTTGGTCGAGTTGCAAGGGCAGATCGGTCTTCGCTGAAAACTAAAAAGGTAAAAATATCACGAAATCTATAGAAAAGACCTACGGGTTGACGTCGACGATAGCGACGGCGGATGTGGTCTTCCTTCTTACAACAGTTCCTAGAGCAGCCTTTCCCTTCACAATGGCGTATGGCACGTTGAACTTGCGGCAGAGTGCTGGCAGGAACAACACGATCTCGATGGGGTCAACATCATGAGCCACAAGAACGAGCTGCGCCTAGAAATAAATCAAAACCAGTACCAATAGCAAATGACTTAGAAGTACAGTATTATGTTATCTCTTACCTTGCGAGTCTCAACCAGACGAGTGATAGTGTTTACGCCGTGACGGACAGTTGGGGGACGCTTTGTGATCTCTTCGGTTTTTCCTGCAGCACGGGCTTCCGCACGTTTGCGAAGACGCTCCTTCTTCTGTTCCTTGGACTCAGGTCGATACTTGTTGAGAAGGTTGAACAGTTGGGAGGCTGGAAAAAGGAAAAATTAATTGAAGTGAAGAAGCACGGTCAAAAGAAGAACATACACGTCTGCTTATCAACTGCTGTTCTGAACTGATTCACTGGTGGAGGAATCTTCAAACGCTTCTGCAGCACAGCTCTTTGACGCTGCAGGCGGATGTATTTTGGCCACTTCACGAAGCGGGTCACATCTCGTTTGGGCTGGATGTCGCATCCTGTAAAATCACTCAAATGATCGGACCTTGCCAGTGTGATCTCTAACTGGTCAGGAAACATTTCCTCTTAACACAAGCCGATGTTAGCATAACTATCACACTTCCAGAAGAATACAGCACGTTCTTATTAGGTTGCCGGGAAAATACTGTCATACTTTTCAAAATTACGCTCCCTTTCTATGGAGGGCGTCTGAGATCCAAAGTAAACAGCATTGTTACTCCGGGGTTCTCGCCAGTTCTTGAGCAATTAAGTCGCTTCACAACAGAGGCTGGCGCGACGAGGAGTTGCACATCATCTCGATTGTAAATTGTGCTCCGGCAGTGAAGCTTTCTCGGGTTTCACGGGTTAGTTCGGGAGAAAACTAACCATGTGGAAGAAGCGCTGTTTGGGCTACATCGGTGCAAGGGGAGAGCCATCCAGCTCAACTGCATGAGGTTCGGCTCGACTGTTTCCTGGCGGGGTGGGCTGCACTGTCATGTTGAGGGCAGACAGCGAGGACAAATTCTTCCCTCTAATCGGAAATTCGCTTCGGATCTCCCATTCGCTCTGTGTGGGGATTGGCCGTGAAGCAACTTCACCATACAGTAGCTGCACAAGCCTCAGCACCTCCAATCTGAGATCACACGGATATCCAGTCTGCAATTCACTTCGTCTTCAAAACTGTAGGCTCCCGCTTAAAGAATTAGCATCGTAGAAGATTTTCCGATAACTGGGGGCATCATTTTTATGCAGCTCACTTACTTTGCCATCGGCAGCTTCATACTCACGTTAGGGCGGTAGAAGAAAGAGTTCGAAGGAGAGCTTTTAGATTCGGTTCCGATGGTACCAGATTCCATTCCTGTGCATGTTGCAGAAGAGGAAGAAGTAAGAGGCTAGCGAGTACTACTAGCAGGAAGAGTATTCCTTTGTGTACTCAATACGCTCACATTACGTTCACCCCTACTCAGATAATGGGCCAGTATTTTGAATCAACAAGTATGACAGAAATTTCCCGCCAACCTAGTAGAAAAGGGGTACCAGAAAAGTCCATAAAGTGGAATCTACAGTCTATACAAAGGATGGTATATAGTTTTCAATGAAAGAGAAACATATCATAAAGTTCAGTACTTCTAAGACCTCAGATTGTTCACTAAAACTTGCCAAAGGGGAATATTCGGCGCCCCTATCACGAAAATGACGTCCATTTTTGTTTCCGGTGCCAGACATGTGTGCCTATTTCTGATTAAAACGCTATGATGGTTCTGGGGAAAACGGTCACGGGACCAAAAAAAAAGAGTGGTAAATTCCCAGGCAGAACATCAAACAACCCCTTTCTATAAAGTTTCGGCAAAAAAACCAACTGAGATCCTGGAGTAGTAACCGGCCATCAGTGATAAAAACATGATTTAGAAAAAAAACCAAAAGTTGGAATTCCAAGTACACAACTTGAAACATCGGGCAAAAATCTACCTCCTCACCCATCTTAAAACCTCCACATTCTCCTTGGCAATATTTAGATGTGCACTACCAACCCCACTTCTCAGTTTATCAGTTTTAACTTCATAGATGTCAAAACAGCAAAATGTTTGAGACCGCGAAGACATAAAGATAGAAGTAAGAGATATACAGAGGCAGGAAAGCGAAACAGTTCTTTCCGTATCTAGTGTATCTAATAATACACAACAAGAATGTCGCTTTCTTGACATCTTTCATGTAGGCGGTATACTCGCAAGCAAACAAACTTTTTCGCAGTCACTCCACTTCCACATCCATTTCTGACCTCACAAATCAAGAAAAACCTTTAAGTCAAAGGTACGATGTGCGAATACCTGAAAGCTGGCATCGCACACTTATCCTTTGAAAATGGGAGGGGAGAAGTTTCCATCCATATTACCCTTACTGCGTACTATGCACAAAAAAAGAAAAAGAAATTTCCACAACATGGAGAGTTCCGCAAAGACTCCACGGTTCTGCGATACTCGTTGTCTAGGATTTAAAAAGATCTCGCATGTCTCAAACTCTCATCACAATTCTGACCTAGTCCTAAGATCCTAGTTTCAGTCCTAGCTTTCTTAAATCCGAATTATAGATGACGTTTTCAATAGGAATGTTGTGCTTCATGTACAAATTGCTTCCTGACTGAGTCTTGACTTCGAGACGAGTTCTCTGTCTGGCTCTAAAAGGGGGTAAACCGAAAGCTGGAAAAAGCCCTCGAATCTGGCTAGACCGCGAAAGAAACTATTTCTCACTGTTCACCACCAAAGAACGCAACGAAAAAGGAGCAACTCATTTATAAAGTGTGTGTCCCACCTTGCGAAATAATTGGTCCGCTTCAGTGGATCCATAAATGACCACGACAAACTCGCAGCCAGATTTTCAGCAAAACCAATCTTATTGCTTGCACATGTCCTTACTCTATCTTCTGTGAAACTTTTAACCATCTCTCTAACGTCGTAGGTCAATCCAGAAGGGTGTGCGACCAGGTGTCCCGATATCATTAAACCAGGGGCCGTATACACCAGGGGCCGTATGCTATACTTCCCCTCGAAGGGGAGATTTCCCCCAGTAAATCTCCGCTCTCTGCTGTTATCTCTATCAATGCCCCTCGTCTCTCTGCTTCTGCCTCTCTGCATCTATGTCTCCCCCACTCTCGCGGAATCTCCCCCAACGACATTCGCTGGGGGAGAGGGGAGCATATCGATTATACTCTGCGCTGCACTATATTCGCACAGAGCATGCGCCAGAAGAGTATGGATGCAGAGCGGCGAGAGCCAGAGAGACGAGGGGCATTAGTAGTAACGGCACAGATTGGAGGTCCCTAAGAGGAAATCTCCCCTCTAGGGGGTATAGCACACGGCCCCAGTTCTCAGTGTGTTTGGAATCCGTCAAACTTCGTTGCGATTGTAGCAACTTTGGATTGAACATAGATGGTTCTCCTTCCATCGACGGTCCCTTCCCCTTCAATCCGTCGAAGAAAGCAAACTTGCCTCGCTCCCATCTATGAATATGAGTACTAGGTAGTCAGCAAAGCAGAAAGAATGACCTCACTGCGGAGCTAGAAAGACGATGCAAGGCTGGATAAATAGTCACACAGTTCCATAAGGAGTGCTGTGAAGGATACCAACTTGCAAGCTAAGGGAATACATCTTCAATTCGACCTGTTATGTGCTTGGAGAAAGCCGGAAAAATTTAGGCCCCACCGAAAGTAACAGAAACTCCTCTCAAGCGTCAACTGAACCTTAAGCAAACTCGCTGAAAGCAGGAAATGTAGCCAACGTGACAAGTAGTAGTCCACCTAAAAATGATCCTCAGTCCACTTTCACCAGCCAGACAGCGTGTGTAACGGTAAGGTGAAAGGACGTGGATCGGAAAGGGATACGTGTGGAAGTTCACCGGATGATATCTCAAGTACAACTAACGAATACGAACACTGGTGCCCAATCTACCCCATAAAACCATAGCGTCTTTTTTACTGCAAATCACAAATGCTTTCCAGTGGCTTCATGGAAAAAAGCGTTTGGCGCCTTTCAACATGAAAAAGGAGGGTGGCCTCGAGAAACGGAAAATATCACACGAAGTTTTGTTTCGCAAGGAAACAATGACTGCTCTATATCAAGCTGCTGCTAGTAGCTGCATGATGCGGAAAAATGAACTGTATAAACGAACATATTGATGAATGATACACAGGTAAAAATGCTCGCTAGGCGATAAAAACTTAGGATTGTCCACCTATATCAATGATCTTAATATTGCTTTCATCTTTGGGCACTATTGCAAATGATTTTGCAAGGAACTGCGCTCTGTCCGGTGGCTCTCATGACAGGTTGTTCTCACGTAGTGTCAACATTGCTACGCTCCTTCATAGCAAGCTGAACGACTCGTCGTAGTACAGCATTATTTTTCTTACAAGAACGGCCCGCGATCACCTATAAGTAGCTAGGCTCTTTGCAGGGGACAACAGAGGAATCCGCAACGGACAACAATGTAGAAACTTCGAGTCAGAAACTAGTAAGGTAGCGGCGGCAAGACACAAGGTTGCATAAGTGACTCTGCCAAAAAAGTCAGTGACCCCGCCCATGTGGATAGATATTGGTTGTCTTACTCGACTGTGTGCTCTCTCGCCGATCTTGTCTGACCTATCGCCCGAGAAACGACATCGACTTCTTGTCTTCGCATTAGGCACATGGGGAAGCTTAATTTCTAGCTTTTCTGCAATTTCCTTTGCTTTTTTTCATTCACAAGAGAATAGTCAAATGGCATGTACACCTCTACTTTGATCCCGATATCAACAAACTTCCCGATGGCCATCGCGTCATCGCGAATTCTGCTTTATACTCAACGATAAGATGAGCATAAAGGTAGAATGGAGATGAGCATGTGGTTCGGGATTCATTTACTCATCGGCTTTACCTTATACTACTTTCAAGTAGATTTATTACACCTTACTGATTAATCCTCCCCCCCGCCAAATCACAAATATGTGTATGCACCATTTGAACCTTGCGTGCAGGCATAAATAAATAAATAAAACCACAACAAACATTGATTAATGAACATTAATAAAAAAATTAATGAACCGGCCATTGATGAGAACCACCCCAGTTGAATGCAAGTTCATAATATAAGGCCGCGTTCATACATGACGACGTTGTGGAAATGACGGAAATTGCGGAAAGGAAATGCATACGTATCGATTTGAAAACTGCATTTCTGCAAATTCCGCGGAATTTGCAGAAATGCAGAAATGACGGAAAAAGAAATGATAGGGATCGATCGGTTCGTTCCTGCCGTCGTGCGGAATTGGGAGAAATGCAGAATCCGCAGATTCTGCAGATTCCGCACTTCGGCAAATTCCGCGGAATTTGCAGAAATGCAGAAATTACGGACAAAGAAGCGATAGGGATCGATCGGTCCATCGGCATTTCTGCAAATTCCGCACTTCTGCACATTCCGTGGTTCGGCATTTCTGCATCATGTATGAACGCGGCCTAAGAAGGAAAGAAGTTCGCTTTTTTTTTTAAATCCATAATATAAGAAGAAATGGAGTTCGCTTTTCAGAGAATTGGTTTAAAAAAATAGAGTGCTTATACCACATGTACCTGTCGCTGTATCTTTTCGGAAGTGAGCGATTAAAAAAAACATGAAAATATTTGTAACCTATGCAACTCACCGATGTTGAAGTTCCTTGTTCGCTTTTCAAAAAGAGGATTTTTCACCTCCTTTTGAACGGCTGCAGCACGGAGCTGTGCTGGTGGAGCGGCAACCTTCTTTTTGATAACCTTCTTCGAAGGCTGAAAATTAACTAAATGTTAACTGTTCGCAAAATTAGAAGTCACAAAACTTCCCCAGACAAAAAAAAGTCGCTTGAGAATTAAGATTTGTTTCAACGCACTGATCGCAATGTGCAAGGATTTCAATGCATGATTGCGGGTGAATTTTCCCGGGAAGAAATGTGTTAATTATGGCACACTGGAGCTCCATTTCCCATGGCATAAATAAAATGGCTTTCTATTTCCTCAACACACAGCGTTGAGCGCCTTTAAAACCCTTGTACTCTTGCAGAGCGCAAACAACCACCATGGATTTTAGAGTTCGCACTCAGCATCAGAACATCAACTATGAGACAAAAAACTGAAAAAAAGCATTGAAAACAACTTACGCACCATGGTTGAGCGACTTTAGGCCCAAAAATGAAAAGTCGGCAAGTGCGACGAACCGCAGAAACTCTCGTCGTCTAGGCTCTCTCGACAGACACGCAGAGGCGCGAATTTCGAAATTGATTTCACTGGAGCACCCGTTGCGGAGTTTCAGTAAACCGTGGTCAGCTTTTCGGTTTACTTTTTATTTTCGGTGCTAAATTCAAAGAAATATCTTTAGAATGCCTTTTTGAGATCTAGTCGTAGCTGAGATTCTGCATTTAACGTCCACTTGTTCCTGAAACTACTCTGTGACTTTTCCCACAAAGCATGATGTTTTGCTAAATATTGTACCAACTGCACTTTTTTCATTTTGCAGTTGCTTTTTAGATGCTGATTTAGGGTAGTAGGCCATCATATAAGCCCCTATGGATACTAGACCATTTCGAAAAGTCTTGTAAAATTGCGATATGCTATCAGTTCATTTTACGCCATTTTTTTTCGTTTTTTTTTCAAATGTCTTAAAGTAATCAGTGCTAGGAGAAGCAAGGAAGTTACTGCGGGCTTGAAGTGGGATTTTTTCCCATGTCTCCAGGTGGGGGGGGGCAGGATTGCGTGAGCAATTCCTTTGTGCAAAAAGAGAGGTTTTCTCATTTCGTGAGCTTTACCCTGAAGCCACAACGGTTTCCTGACATAACCCATCCCCACTTGTTTTTCTGGTGACTTGCTTTATTTTTTCCAAATACTTGGAACTGCCTTAGAAACAATTTTTGCCTGAGCGGGTTCTTACAAGTGTTTCCAGGTCTTCACAAGAAGCCCGCCATTTTGACAGGATTTAACCAAATAGCGTCTCTGGATACCGTCAGCCACAAGCCCTCTACACTTTTTGTTCCTCCCTCCTTTTTTTCCTTATTTCCTTCCATATTGCGTATATTCTTCTGGCCTCCAAACACTCGGCCAGAAGAGTGAAAATAACTTGAACTCTTTCAGCGAAAGAAGATCCAGCAGAAGCCCTGCAGAACAATGAAGAACAGAGTCAAGCAAACCATACCCTCCACACCAACTTTACTGTGAGGTTTAGGGTTACTACGAAATGGCTAAAAGGGTATAGGCCGCATAGACCCTCCTGGGGCTTAAGGGTTCACAGAATTCTGTCGAAAAAGGAGAGATTGCTACTCGACTCCGGGCGAACGACCGTGAAATCTGCTTCAAAAGGATTCAGATCCGTTAGGGCGACTGAATTCCGGCCCAAGTGTTGGATTCGGACGATCAGTCAGCACCGGCATCTTAGTTCTTTCGTACATGCTCTACATACCGTGGAAATGACGCAGCCATGCGGACATTTCCACGGGTTTCAGGAAATCTATGCTTGCTTCACTCACTCAGTGACAATATCTGTCAGAAAAACTAATCACACCAATCAACCAATCACGGTTTTGTCACGTTTGTGATAACTTAGTAAATTTAAGACGCAAAGGCGCTTTTTTCGAATTGAAAAGTGCTGGGCAGTGCGACTCAAACACTGAATGACAGGGCGATAGTTAACCCAGCTATGAAGAAAAAGTGCAAATAAAACCTCGCCTGACCCCCCCCCCACCTTTTTTTAGGACCTCATGCTGAACCGCGCGTTGTTGCGTGTATAAGTAGAATGGGCGTGGTGGGCGAGTTTGCCTGCTTGTTGGTTTTTTTCCGCCCTTTCCTCCCCTTTAAGTCGGCTCGCCACATTCTCACTAATCGAAATGGAGAGATCCAGTAGCGGAACAAGCTCACCTTCGCTATACCTTTAGAAATGAAAGATGAGCGTTGCCGTGGCCGATAGGCGGAGCTGTGGCCTTGTCGCGGGCGGGCCACGCTCCCTAGCGTATTTTGGAACAGCGAAAGCAGTCCTCCATGCTTGCGTACAGGGCAAACATGTCCCCTTAGAGAGAAGGCTCTGAACACGACCGGCACTTGAATAGCGAAACGTGGCGTTCATATCTTTCTTTCTGCTCACAGAGTGAAACCCTGATTTTCTTGTTGTGCAGAATATGTTGCCCACATGTTGTTGTTACCACGACTGTTCCGGTTAACTGTCTCTGAGAGCACTGTCAGGATTGTCATACTGGGCATTTGTTTAATTATGGCTCCGTTAGCGTCGCCGGAAAAGTGTCGCGGGTAGTCCATCAGTTCCCTCATCACAAGTGGAGACGCCTTGGGTGAGTTTCTGTGTTTTTTTTTTTCTTTTAGTTTCGAAATCATGCGTCATCGCCCACCTCATGATTGAGGTGCCCTTTTTCCGTTCATCTGGGCACTGGCTGAAATCGTTTCTCAAAGGTTAGAGCCTTCTTCGCTGCGGATGAAAGTGCGTGTCAGGCGGTATGGGTTTGGATCCGCGCCGCACCCGTTCTCTACCAATTGTTGAAGCGGTAAGCGTTTAGCTCGCAAAACCCATCCCGCCTAACACGTCCCTCCGTCAGCAACGTACAAGGGTGTGAATTGGCAGAAACCCCCAGCAATATTGTCTACCCTGGGAGAGAGAAGAGGGTCTTCCTCAGGACCCTTCTAAGGGTAAGGGCCGCGAGAAGCAACCTTGTCCAAGTCCGCGTCTGAGAGTTCTAAGGTAATTGCGTCAAAGAGCAGGGTCGCTCAAGGTAAAGCCTCCGGTATGTGTCCTGTGTATTGCGCTGCTCCTTCGCGTACCATCCCGCTGCTCTTATCTGTTCTGGCGACCGAAATGAGCGCAATCCTTACCTTCCGCTTGAAATGATGTACCTTATTTGGAGCGTTTTCGACGTTTCTCTCTGTTTTTTTTTCGCTGGCGAGTCAACTTCTGTTACTCAGTCTCGCTCCTCAAACGTTCGCCTGGCTCATCGCTAAGTTGCTCTTCAAATTCGTACGTTCATATTGATCCCTCGAGCCAATTCAGAGTTTATGCTACTGTTCTTCGTGGATATCTATCATAGTAAATGTGTTCCAGAATACTCATGAGAGTACAGAAATAATAGCGTTCAGATATTGAAAACTTATTTCAAAACGAACGGTGCGTAATGACTTCCGTGTTCAGGTCTGGCCCAGCACATGACGCAGTTTTGCCTTCACTGTCTAATGAAACGCGTAAAAGAAGAATTTGGCGGTAAAGAGTTGCTGTATCCGAACGAACCACCACCGTGGATAAGTAAGCGTGTATTCCATTTCTAAAAAGATCTGCGACACTGCTGATTACAAAATTAGAGATTATCCTCGCTTTGTACATTTCCCGTTCAACCAGGAAAGACTATTACATAGGGCTCGCATGCCCTGCCGCTGAGGAAATTTTTTTGTCAACTTCAGCTCCTCGAAATCTTCTCTGGAACGGTTCCCCTTACAACTCCCACATCCTACCTACCATTTCCTCAATTTTTTCAACTTCCTACCAGTTTTCGGTTTTTTTTTCAGAAATTTCTCAACATTCTTCCTCGGGAACTGCCGTCGAGCGGGGCAACAGGACAAAACGGCATAAAGTCAGCAACCAAAAACATTTGCGGAGGCTGCTACGACCGTCCTCTCTCCGGTGGCCAAATACGACCCCCTCCCCCTCGCCACGGATCTCCAATGTACGGCGTGCACTGGTTTCACATCCACAGTAGGATTAAGAGCCTTGTGCCGGTTTCGAGCTAGACAGGCGCTGACGGGAATGTGACCCCAAATGCCTACCGGTCGTTGAGTAAGGAGATTGAAAGTTCAAAAGTATGCTTATAATGACGTGGTCTTCTCTGATTTTTTATATTGTGAATGGTTGGCTGACTTGAAAGAACAGGGAGAAAAACCCTCAGAGACATCAAAATCATGGCAGTAAGTAGTTCCAGTTAGGTCGATCCCACGCAGAAGACGGTTTACATAGGCGCAAAAAATTGGCTGGCTCCCTAAACTAGAAACTACAAAATAATCACAAGCCGTGCGCTTACGGGTCAGCTTGTCGTACCCAAAAAAGTATCACGTCACTCAAATAGTCGCATTTTGCTCAAAGATGCAGGAGAGAAATGCTTGAAAAATGCCGCGTGCTCGAAAAGCTCATGCTCCTGGAAATTCTTCTGCGCGCATTGTTGTGCATTGTATGAGTGCCAGTGTATTACAGAAGGTGATCTGTGTATTTTCCACAGTGACCTGATTCACGAAATGGTGTAACATCAATAAGTCCAAAGAAGCCTGCATGTTTTATACAGGGTGCAGATCGGTGTACATCCGCAACCAACCCGTTTTTTACTCAGATCTGCAGTCGAAAAAGATGAAGAAGATAAGCTTGTCTCACTTGGCTAGGTGTTCACAAGCTTAGGCTCGCTGTGGCGATTATTCCACGTCATTCTACTCTTCTGTCCTCACGGAACAAAGCAACCATTTCTTGGCTGCGAGTCAATAGTTAGCAGGATACCTGAGTGTTTGTGCTGCTGCTGGTATGTACCCAAAAGCAACTTCAATTGAGCCAGCAAAGTAGTAGAAATGTACATTGAACTGTTCTGGAACCGTAGTCCCTTTCTGCTGAATAGAAGTCTTATTCAGAGGCAGTGCAGGATGTTCTATCGTATACAGTCCGTTGCGGAAGAAGAGGCGTGTCCGACGGAATGGGTTGGTGCGGCGAAAAACCCGTCTTCCACTAGCTATTGAAGCGGGAGAGCGACAACGATTGGTGGAAAATGACTTGTGTGAACGATGTGATACAGTCTTGTCGCTAGCTCGCTTCAAAAACTGTTGAAAATGGGTTTGGTGCCGCGCCGAATCCATCTCGCCTGACACACCCCTTCATCGGATTAAATCATTGACGGCAACTAATGGACACTGTCAAGCCTATGAAGTCTTTGCTGATTTCAGAAGCTCCCGATGAAGCGGAAGTAGAGAAACCAGCAGAAAAAGAACCTCCGAAAACTGAAAAGCCTAGAAAAGCTGAGAGGCATAAAAAGCAGGTAATGTTCTCTTCTGCAGTTGCTACGATAGTTCATCCAGTTGCTTCTAAACAACTACAAAAATGACTTCAGAATCTGAGGATGGTCATCCCACAGGAGGAAATAGATGACCATCTGTACAAACGTTCATTTGAGCTTCGAGATGGTTTGCTAACATTTGAGATTATGAAGATGAAAAACATGAACAAGTGGGTCGCCTTTGAAAGGCTATTTGGATTGCTAAGTTGACTCTCTTTCTAACCATCAGTACTTCATCGCTTCAGGTCAGCAGCTCATGCGTTTATGATCCAACTGCGTCAACGTGCAAAAGCTGAGAAAGAAGGTCCCTCCAAGAAAAAGGACGACCAGGCTAGTAAAGTCAATGTAAGTTGAACGTTATTTTCTTCTTCACACTTATCTCTCTCCGGAGGTATTTCTCATTTCTCGTTCAGCCTCGCCGGCTTCTTCCATGGTGTCCAAATGTTGAGTCCCTGTTTCCTCGTGGGCTTGTTTCCGTAAGTGATCTGGTCACTAAAAGTCTCCATTACCGTTGTCTGTGAATGCTGAGTTTCAGGGCCTGGACCAAAAAGAGCAGATTCGTTTCTTGGCGATTTGCCAGAATGCAATGAATTCTGGCTCATTCAGGTTCGCACACAATGTGAAAGATCTCAAGGTATGCTCTTCTAGCTGTTTCATGTTACCTCCAGTCCGGAACTCTAGTATGGCAGGACCTTGATTAAGATCTTTCCAGGGTGCAAGTGAAGCATAAGTCCATTGCCTGTTGAGAGTTAGGAAATGACTTGTCATTCTACGAGTTGACGTTTCGCATTGATAAAGAGCAAACCCCTTCGTCTCATCGTCGTTGGTATCCCATAGCGCGTTTAGGCGGAGACGGTGTAGGGCAAGTGGCACGCTTAGCACACACTCGGCACTAGGCAGCGGGGGGGGAGGGGGGTATATCCCGCCCACTCCAGCCAATCCTTCTATCTTCCGGGAACGGTAAATAGGAACCAGATTGGTCTGGGGGATAGGAACGTTGGCTTGTACATCGGCTGGTCCCGCAATTCTAACGGCGAAGGATTTACCCTCTATCCATCTACCATCGCTGTGATCGGGAGGGGGTGTCCTTGGAGGAAAACATCTCGTGGGTATTTTTCCTTAGGTCTTCCGTTTCGCTATTGGTAATGTGTCTTTTTTGCCCTCACATCTGCAGAGCACACAATGTAGTCTAGTAGTTGAGCAGGTTGGGTATTTACCGACCTATGTGATCTCGTACAGGAGTTTCAAAAGCGAGCAGATCCTGAGCGGAGCTACATGGAGTCGCTTATTGTGGATAATATAGAGAGCAACTTAGAAAATGATGGCTCAATTCATAGCAGTCATCCTTTGTCCTGTGTGCCTAGCATGGCTTATGGTTTTGTTCTGGTTAGTTTTTTGCGTTTTCTTTACTTTCTGCATCGCACCCAGCGTATTTTTGTTCTCATTTTCAACATGATTTTAGAAACGATGGAGAAAACGTTGGAATGACAAGAGCTTTCCGCAAAAATTCGATACTTCAGCACCAGTATGCTCAATTGAGTGGAAAGCGCAAGTCGTTCCTTCTGGCCAAGAACACTTCCCTGAGCTTATAGCAACTATTCTGAAAGGACGTCACGATAGAATTCAGGTAGTTCTGACATCTTCTCTAAGGCTGCGTTCATACTTTACGACTCCGTTTTCGAGGAGGGTTGACGTCTTGAGCGAGTCGGGTTTTCGAGAGAAAGAGACTGCGCAAATATCGGTCGGTGCCCATAGTGCGGATTTTTCAAAACACTGGCAGCTGGCTCCAATCAATATCTATACTATCCTTTTCGCTCACTCTAGCGACTAGGAAAGCGCAGGGATCGATCTAGCTTGCGGCAGCGTCTGCCAGCATCCAGCAGCGTTTAAGAGTGGAGAGTATGGGGAATAAGAGGGTAGTTGTAAGAGCGTCGTAAGGCAGCAAGAGGGTCCAGCTGTCTGCCACCCTCCTTCTTCCCATACTCTGCGTTCCTGGATGCTGATAAACGGTGGTGGGTGCTGGCGGATGCTTGTAGACGCTGGCATTCGCTAGATCGATATCTATACTTCTCTAGTTGCTGGTGGGACATAGGCTCGAAACGCTGGTGGTCGCTGGTGGACGCGAAGTATGAACTCACCCTTAGTCTCCCAAACAGCCTAATCAATGCCTACACATTCCTTCTCGCTCAAAACGGCTCCGCTCAAAATGTTGATTCTCGCAAAGCACCCAGTCGCAAAGAATGAACTCAGGCCAGAGATACACTTTCCTTAACACATTGAACGCCGCGTGAATTGTCGGCAATACACGCGCATACTCCCGTTTCTCGCGTTTGTGTATTGCCCACAATTCACGTTTTGTGGATCGGTTTTTTCGTGGATAAGAGTGCGACTTGAACCATTCTCACCGTATATATGTTCAGTGAGCTTTGCTCTTACTAGGGAAGGTCGTCAGGTCGAAGTGGCCATTTGTAATGAGATGTAGCTCACTAGACGTGGTTTTGGACGCTGATCTCGAATCTGCCTTCGAAATTTGCAGAACGATTCTCTGAACGGAGTTATGGAGCTTTTTCCACCGCGTTTACCACGCAACAGGTCGTGGGATCGGATCCCTGCTGAGCTTAACTTTTTTGCTTCTTGTGCAAACGTGGCAAAAAGTGGTTGTGGCGTCACTGCTACATTAGCGCTCTCCTTGACTTGCCTGAAAAACAGTTTGTGTTCGCTTACTGGCGCGCTTAGTGCCTTATGATCTAGGAGAATTTTTGGATGTACAGGTGCCCTTGGCGCGGAGTGCAGGCGTTTTCGCGCTGAGCGAGTGCCATATTCGTATTTATGGGGGCGAACTACGCCTAGGTAGAGGTTTCTAGCCAAATCTGGCATTTTGACCTGACTTCGAAAAGTGAAGCATCCATGGGTTAGTTCAGTTGATGTTCACACCTATTCAGCTGCAGATACATTCTCCTGCACAAAGCCTCGTCTTGCCACTTCTTACGCATTCATGTTGTTACTGCTCCAGTTTTCCTGGTATCTAAAAGCAAATTCCGTCCAAAGACAAGCAATCGACAAGAGACTGGCCCTGGAACTATTGGTGACCATCATTCGATCAACTGCTACCGCACTTTTCAAAGTTAGGTCAAAACCTCACATCTGGCTAGAAACCTGTCCCCAAGGGTAGTTTTGCTCCCTGAACACGAATATGGCACCCATTTGGCGTTTGAGTGTTTTCTAGACTCAAAAGAGACATTCCCCACAAAATGCAAAACAAGTTACCTTCCAGAAATCCGAACTCTTCATGGTAGTCCGCGAAGCAAGACCATTACCACTACACCATGCCACCGTTGAACGAACGTCGTGCTTCCCGGCTATTTATGCGAATGGCTGGCAACCGCGCTCGACTCTGTTTTCCTTCATTTTAATTCTAACAAACCTTCATAATTCCGTTCAGAGAATCGTTCTGCAAATTTCGAAGGCAGATTCGAGATCAGCGTCCAAAACCACGTCTAGTGAGCTACATCTCATTACAAATGGCCACTTCGACCTGACGACCTTCCCTAGTTAGTTCATGATGGCGTGAAATAAGCTGCCCATTGGAGTAATTCATTAATATTATTACAAAATAACAGTCAGTGGCGCGGTAGTTGCACTTCTTATGATAGCTCCGCATCGCTACAATGGTAGTAAGACTTCTAGTGATAATTAGTGTCAATTTGCAATACATTTGATAGTGTTTAATTCATTATGATAACAGTATTTATGTGGTCAAAAGTGACGTTTAGATCTTCTACGTTGTCCAGATCCATCTATGCAGCTAAAAAAGTCATCATTCATACTGAACAATGTAAAAATGAGCGCAAAAGTAACCACAATGTGCGTGTAAAGGGGCATGCGGCACAAAGACTCCCGTTTCGCGCGTTTGTGTATTGCACGCAATTCACGCGCGCGGAGACGCAGGAAGTAAAAACGGGAGTCGCCGTAAAAACGCCGCGTTCAATGTGTTAATAGTTGTTTATCGTGATGCCCGAAGAAGTGTTGTTTTGCCAGCTCCCTAGTCTCATCAACCGCTGTATGCTGGAATCATCGAAACTGTACAACGACTATCCACCGGCAGCATCTGATACAAATCGCATATTCGACGACATTGATGTAAGAAATTTTCTTTCAGTTTATCTTGTAAAATGCTGAAGGGCATATTCTTCTAGACTGTAATAAAGATGTGCCTCGAACAACGTTCGCATGGCGATGGATGCGACAACTGCATGCCATTTGATGAGTGATCCGTTTGCTGGGCATGAGCATTCATACGCAGTACCTATTCGAGTCATTGAGAAGGTCGTTCATGGTATGTTTCAAGGATCATTATTATCCATCGAAGAAATTGAGGGCAAAAGTAGTTGGGGGGGGAGGAGGAGCCGGGCCATGCTACGCCATTTGCAATGTTTTGAAAAGATGGCAGGAGAAAACAAGGCAAAGCCAAGACATAATTCGACACGGTGAATACATTGCATTACACCACCACTTGGCTGGTATGTGACGAGACAAGCATAATATATCGCGCTGATGGGCTTGGCGGGCGACGCCGCGCATGCTAGGGACGAGCTTTCCTACTGTCCGTTAGAATGTAGGTGCCAAGGGGGGGGGTGATCCGGTATCGCCGTCGTGGAATCTTGTCTTTATTTAAATTCTCATGAGATTTGCTGCTCCAGTCGACTAACAGATGCTTACGAGAGCCTGCCGTGCATAACCGCGCGATACGCCGCGCGGCATGGCGCAGCAATTACGATAGTTTTGTCCTTCTCCCCCACTTGGCACCCCAAACTACTTTTGTCTCCGAATAGCATTGTACTTATTATTTTCTTTAACATTTCTCAGGAACAACGACAAATATCGCCGTTCTTGGTAAACCACGCATTCTTGGTGCAGTGGAACCAGTAGCCGTTCAGAGACAGTTCGTAAAATATTTGCTGAAGTCAGCATATGTTTCGAAAAAAGGTACTGCGGTTTCTCCGTACCAACCATTCAATGACTTTCTTTCATTGATCACTTACAGCCGAAGTGAATGTTGAACCGAGCGAGCTATTGACCAAGAAACTGAAGGCAGACTCAGGTGAAACACAAAGGTCTGTTTAGAGAACTGCATTAGAACGTTGAACAGAACCTCTGTTATTGTTCTTTTAAGCGGCTTCTGCGATCCTCTTGACTCTATACTCCCTTCTCTTGAAACGCTCTCAAGCCATACTGGAGCTTCTAATACATCCATTCTTTCAGACAATGGTGGGTGTATCTTGAATGTAAACTTTCTTTCTTTTATCCAAGTTGAAAAGATTATATGGCTGTTTTATTCAACGCCGCTCGTTTTATACCTCTTTATTCGAAGGCGAACTGTACACTCACTTTCACGGATTCTGAATCTTGCCGAGTGAAGAAACTGAGTCCGCTGCTGCAGTAGCGTGCCACCTTCTCCTGTCAGCACGATAACAGACACGGCCAGCCACACGCTCAGCCAATCCTCGCTCTATCCTCACGCTTTTGGTCTGTGCCCTCTCATTCTCTGGATTCTTTTGTACCGCTGTGTGTAAGGTTTGCTGGTGGATATCACCAGGGAAGGACAGCAAGTCAGTCCGACCATTTGCAATGAGGTGTACGCCGCTTGCGCGCCTCAGGACGGTGAGGTCAAACCTACCTTCTAAATTTGCGAAACGGTTCTCTGAACGAAGTAAATAACCAGTTTAACTTTTGTCGAAATTGACGAAAAACCTCAGGTTCTGCTAGACTGCAGCTGCTGGAGGTTAGTCGACCTTCTGAACGTGAATATTACACCCATTTTGTTTGAAGTTATTTATCTCGCGCGCTACAGGTGCCAGCCCTTGAGCACGAGCGCGCGTCTAAGGAAAAATTGTGAGAAAACCTGAATAACTCCGCTGGGGGAATCGTTTCGCAAATTCAGGTAGGTATGTGCTCGTCGTTTCAAGTCACGTATAAGGATGTGCACCTCATTGCAAGGCCAGACTGACCCGTTAACCATCCCTGGTTAGTATCAACCAAGGGCTGTACATTGGAGGATATTATCGGTGGAGTACGGAAACGATGCCCTTGTATTGCTACTACCCGATAACCCCGTTTCCGTGCACTTCTGAGCACAGAAAGTGGCACGCTACTTTATTCTGCGGACCCACTCGCCTCTCACCTCAGAGGTGGGAGTCCAGTTTGTCTTTGAGATGGGACTGAGTGAGGTTCCTAGCCCACTTTTTCTATTTCTTTCTTTTTTTAGGTAAAACATATTCAATATTCTCGATTATTGGATCGAATATCTTGGTGCGCTCTCATCCAGCCCCACTTTGTTCCGAAGGGCATCAGTCTCTGAAGTATATGGCATTATCTTTCCAGCCAAAAGTCGAATATGTCCCTAACGCAGGAGCAATGGTCTGTCTCTTGTACTTTGCGAAACTTAGGAAACTTAGAAGACATTAATTTCCATGTTGTCCCTTCTTGTAATCTCAGCATGATGTCGAATGCTTGATTACTTCTGCCAAACGAAGTTGTTAGACGAAACTTTTTCATTGGCTTGAAGTTTCGTCTTCCGAAAGTGGGTCGAAGCTTTTAATTACTTACGTACCAAACGCCCTGTTTCGATGTCGTGTCCTGAAAGTTTCTGAAGAACTAGGTTAACTGCGAACAACCCGCCGGAGGTTCTGCCGTGCGGAGCCCTAGCTCAGGCACAGCGTGAGCTAGGCTCCGCACGTCGGAACCTTCGGTGAGTAGTTCGCAGTTATTACTGGGTTCTTCGGGAAGCGTTCGGGACACGACGTCGGAAACGCTAGGGTGGAGAAGGCGTTTGGTCGGGTAGGTAACGAACTCGTTTGGCAGAAGTAATCAGGCACTAAAAGGTGTTTTTTTCCTTTGCTGAAACCGTGATTTCTGGCATTTTTCAGCGTTTGCTCGAAGCGGAAGCCCTCTGGAATCATTGCAAAGAAATTTTCAAGCAGTCAGCTAATCACGCCCTCTTCAGGACTCATTACATGTATGTTCTTTCGCTTTGAAAGTTTTGGTACCAAGTATTGCAATGGCAGGCTGTTCCAGAGCCGTCGTAGGTTAGGCAGGGCTGGACCTGTTACGAGCGACACATTTTTTTTACTGTTTTTTTTCTTCCTTTACGCTCTATACAGGGGTGCGCTTTGTATCTCGGAAAATTGAGTAATAGGGAATAAGAGATTGCAAGATCAGGATACTACTACCATGATTTGCCAAGGCATTTTCAGGGCGAAGGATTTGCTGCAGATTCAGCATTGGGCATCGCAAAGGTGACATTTTGATTTTCTTTGATTTTAACGTAAGGTATACAATTCGGAGAAGATATTTAGTTTCGAAGTAATAACTGGAAGTGAACAACAATGGACTGGACCTACCCATCGGCAGGACGCGAAAAGGATGTACGCTGTTTTGTATGTTCAAGGAGTGCTTAATTTCAAGTGATCTTCATTTTTAGGATGTCTGCGTACACTTCCCGTTTCGCTCGACTACTCGAAGAAGTTAGTCATCTTCCTCATGGTGATTACATGCTCGTCAACAGGAATGATGGCGTTGTTAAAATTCTGCCTCAGCTGAAAGAGAATATGAGCGTGTAAGTTTGCGATGTCATCCGTTATGTGGGATGACAGGATGGTTTGAAAGTGGGTGCGCAGAAACATTTCCCGAGTTTTCCTTCCTACAAATCTTACCAGCTGTTTCGTCGTGAGAACAATTCTGTAGCTATCACAAGAGTTATGGGCAAAAGTCGTGCTCCAGGCGGGAGTC